CAGGATTTCTTACAAAGCACTAAATACAAACACAGGTTATGCCACTCTGTCTCCCTCTCATCAGCTAGTGAGATCTAGCAACTTTTAGCATAATGAATTTAGCAGGGATGCCTTCTCTACACAGTCCATCAGGCCTGCCATCTAGGAGATTAAATTATGTCTGTAAGCATTAAAGCTTTGATGCTGTATTTGGGCGGCATGCATGCATCCATTTGCAAAATTCTATATAACAAAATTAAAAACATGGACACCTATGGAAAATGGCTTGGCACTAGCACTTAAACCGAACCACTCCAAACAGTCTGCTGACTAATGCATTTCTAATCATTTCTGTGATCAATGTTAGCTACTGTGCAATAAGATTAATCAGCCATATGCAAAGCTCGGATCACCTTGAACAAGGCAAGACGGTAGAAGAAAAAAAAGGGGGGGTGGGGTGGGGGGGGAGATAAAAAGACTGAAAGAAAGTGTCTTGCTATTATGTATGATAAGCACACCATCCAGAAATAAAGCACACCTGCATTATTCACGTTTTTCATGCGGCTGGTTTTTGTGTGTGTTTCAGCGGCATTACACCGTTGTGCTTCCCTCAGCTGTGCTTTGGCATCTGTGCATGGCCATCTCACTGCTGAATAGCTGCCTGATTATTCCAAATCTAAGGGAATATTCAAACAAGGCCGATAATGCATTCTTCCATATGATTCTCCAGAGCTGGGACAGCTGTTCAGCAGCTTTCAGTGCCATGTTCAGAAAGGGACAGATTTCTCAGCTCAATTAATAGGCCCCATTAAAAATCAGGGAGAAGTTTGACAAATGAAGCAGAGATTCAGTTTGTCTACCTCATACTCAGCTGATGAATAGCTAAACTTTAACTTAAATTATTGGGAAAATTAACGTTTAACTTTGTAATCGATGGTCACGTGGGATTTCAGTGGCCACAGGGGCGAGCTGGGGCTGATGTATTGAAATTGTGCTCCTGGAAGCACACAAAGCCTGCACTATGCGAGGAGTGGCGTTTACATTTCTAGACAATAACTGTCAGTAACTTTGTCACGACGCGGCCGTCAAAATTAAATAGATTACAAGCAGGTCAATTTCACAAACTAGTCCAACAACATGATAAAACTTTAATGACAAGAATTTGTCAGCTGTATCAGACAGGAGGAATTACTGGAGATCAGTGTGTCTTTGTTCCCTTCGCTTCGGCCACACAGTGATTGGAGAATGCAGAGTGCTGCTGCTGTGCCGGTGCCTTGTAAAGTTTCAACTGGCAGATGAATTCTTTCAGTCTGGCGTTCCCCCCGCTCTTTCTCTCTCGCTCTCCAGAACAACGAGGAGGTTGTCTGTCCAAGGACACACCTGTAAGGTGCAGACCCTCGACAGGCTTACCTCAGTGGCCTCTCCTGCTGTACTCAAAAGGCAATTATTCCTCCCAGAAGATAGAGCACTGTCAACTTCAAACAGAGGACATTCTTTAGGCAGATTAGACTAAAATTATGTTTTATTATTTGGGCCCTGAAGAATGAATTGGACTCTATTTGGCCGTCTTTGTGGTGAAATCTAAGACAGTTTAAATGGCAGTGGTATGTTTGGAGTCGGGGTAATACTCTGGTGTCTTTATGAAAGGGCAACAGAGAGGATCAGATTAGAAGCTGAACAGCGAGAGTCTTTCAGTGCGGCTCTACTATCATCTCTGTCTTCTTGTCCGTGCCTGTAGAGAGGTTAAATTAAATGGCTGTAATAAATGTTTTGGTCTTGCTGATGTGGTATGGCCGGCTATCAAACGAAAACACTGTGGAGAAACGGCATGGTGGAAGATCAGAGAAAGGAACAAATGGAGGGTGGGAGAACTATGTCAGCACATTACCAACATTAGAAACGGACTTGTTTTCACTTAAACCTCAATTATAATGGTGGCTCCAGAAACAATTATATTGATGAATGCTTTCTAAGTTACTGTAATTAAATTATTCCATTTAATTAACGAATTATATTGAATTTCTCCCCAGAGGACGGCATTAGCCTCATCTGCTGTTTTACAAACAGGAGTACTCTAATGTTGTGTGCTATGGAAATGATTACTAATGCCTAATGAAACTGTGTCAGATCAGATAAATGCTGTACAGAGTCAACAAGCCAGGCTTGTAACACAGCCAAACTTGAGACAAAACAATAAAGCCAAAGAAGAAATTATTGATTGTATTTTTTCAAGGGCAGGCTTTGTAAAGCTGACATCAAATGAATTATAATGCTGACTGCCTACTTGATGTTTTCAAGGGAATACAGAAAGTCAAACAAAATATGCATTATGCAGGTTTTAAAAAACAATTGTCCTTGCATCAATTCAGAAGTCAATTTATAATGAAAATAATCAGTGTTTTATAATTAACTCGTATGTGTCACACATCCAAATAACAAAACCTCACTTTGAAAATTAGTAGCACTAAACAAAAGTGTCGGTCTGTTGCATAAAATACAATTTCATTACTGTTTATACTCACTGGTTATGAAAGGTAATTATACACAATATAAAACTGGAAAGCCCGCAAAGCAGTTTTACTCTGCTGGTGCAGCAGTGCAAAGCTACAGTATGTAAATGCACAAATAAAGAAAGAAATTCAACTGCAGCTGACCATTGCCCTCTGGTGGGAGTGCCAAGCACCTGCTGGAAGATGACTAAATATAGATCAGAACTAAGATTTGTTTGTATTTCTTGTATTACAAATGAGGACATTATTCCCGGAGAAACAAAATGAAGAACACACACAGACACACACTAGTAATATCAATTACCAAAGCAAAACACAGCAAGAAATGTATTCCTCATTAGGTTTAATTTATCCTTTTAAAGAAAGATAAAGAAAAAGCCCAGTGCCCACAGTAGCAATGTGGCGCAAGTGTTTATTGTCTATTCCCCCTCTTGGCTTGGCCATATTAGTCCATGTGAGAGGAGAGAGGAGTTGTGATGCTGTAAGCACATACCGTGCATTCTCTCTCCTCCGCTGTGCAGTTGTTGGGCATATTGTGAGGTTTTAATACGGGGGGATATGGAGGAGGGCTCGGCTCACATTCGCCGTACAGGAAGAGCCACAGCCAAGAATGACAGTTGCTCCTCTTGGATCTGAGACATCCATGGATTTAAATTGCACTTTGAAAGGTCAGCACATGACAGGCAATCAGTCAGCTCCCAATTGGATGATCAGCAGTCATTTGAATATGCTTCAGATTTTTTTTTTTCATACTGCATTATGGGAAAAAAAATTATAATATGTTAACATTTCCTTGGGGAAGACGCACACTGATAATACAAGTGGTTAAGACTTGTGAATGTAGGGCGTCCTTTATCATATTACCACACAATCAAAGTAAAATAAATAGAAGAACATCCTAAAATTAGGATGATATTAAAAGAACAACATGTAAAACAAATACTACATATTACCAGAGGCTTGGAGAAGGTAAATCGTTTTGAGAATTTATTCAATTAAAAGGACTTTGCATGAGATTCACAGTTGAACGACCTGTCACTTGTGAATGTCAAATAAAGTGAGTGAACCAGATTGTTCTGTGTAAAAAATGGAAAAATCTGTTTTTATTTACTACATCAACAGCTTTTTATTCCCAACATGTTTAGGTTTTGCACATACCTCAGTGATACTTGTGTTTAAAACATGTTTAGTCAAGCCTGCAATGGGTGTAGTTACAACATTTAAATAAGAGGACAAAAACTGCCTGAAGAAAAATGTGGATGGGAGTGGCAGTAAATGTCACATTAAAAAAAAAAAATCCTTAAGCACACTGAGGTTTGTTTTTTTTTTTTTTTTCTTTTTTAAATAATAAAATGTCGCTTAGCCTTGTCTCCATTTGTGCCAATGTTGTGGCACACCCATGTTTCCAGTTCCAGCTTGTTGCTCTGGCACCATCATTGACATGAGGCAGGTTAATACTTCATACACCTGTGTGGAGAAGAGAAAAAAAAAAAAGCCCAATCCTGACAAGTCAATTCTGTTTTGTTAAGCTGAGGTATAAAGCTGCTGTCACCGTGATCTCTAAAGGGCTTTTAGATTCTTTTTCATTGCTGTGCCAAATCCAAGGATAGAAGGGGGGGAAAAAAAACACACCATATGTCAAAGTTCTTACAAGGTCACATCTAAAGGCAGCAAAGAGTGGAACGAATAATCAATGCTTGCTGTTTAGTTTATTATAGGTTCAAACACCTGCAGGCGAGTTCAAGATAGATCATCAGCGCTAAATGTAACTACGGCACACAATGTATTTGAGCGAAATGCTGAGCTATTTTGATGGAAACATCCGCTGCCAGTATATGTGTGCATGCAGGCTTCTTTGCTGGCTCAGGAATGTTGGCATCAAGTATGCAGTCCTGACAGACAGCTGCACTGCAGTGGCGTTTTTAACATGCCACACCAGGATCCAAGTGTCCTGGATTCTCCACAAGAAAAATCATAAACGTAAAATGACAGAAGAATTCATCTTGAGGTGGCAGGAAGTTTGAATCTGACCCCGTGCCTCTTAGAGGTCAAAGGGGAGGAAATTTGGAACAGCTCAGGGAAAATTCCAGTTTTTATCTTGAAACTATTTTAAATGTGTGTCTAATTTGAGCAAATCACTAATGTGAGGTGAAGAAGCCACCCAGCCTGTCCAACATCACCCCGAGGAATACTGCACTGACTAAACCCGGTGACTCACAGCCTCACTTTATCCTAAAGTCTGCGAATAAACCGCTCGTTTATGGACACTTGACACCTTAATCTTCCGCAAAATGTCCTCCTCATCCCCCCCACGTGTTTTTGTGTTATTTCCACCCTTCCATCATTACAAACCACAGTTTTCATTACACAAGGTGTATCCCGATCGCCTGGTTGCCCTGTTTATTTTGTACATGTTCAGCCCCGCCCTGCAGACGCGCTGATATCACGCAGTTGCGTAATTTGACAAGCCAGCGCAAAAAAAAAAAAAAAAAAAATAGGGGAGAATGAGCGTTTGACAGCTGCCGCTTTGCTCGTTACAGATTGTTTCGAAACAAAAAAAAAAAAAAAAAAAAAAAAAAAAAGAATCCATATGCAGAATTTATTTGTTCCAGATTTGGGATAGTTCGGACAGTCTCTCCGCCTGTATGGCCGCTGCCGTGAGGAATAATGTTTGGGTCGCTCCGGGGCAGGACGCGCAGTTTCTCCATAAAACCGCCGCCGCACCACTGACAGCCGACGGTCTGAGAGGTGAAGATCATGGACAAGTGCTCTGCAACACGAGGGATGCCGTCCCGGGAACTTCCTCCTTTCATGATTATAATTTGGTAGGGGATTGCATTTTTTTGTTCTCCTTTCTTTCTTTTTTTTTTTCCCCCCTCTCAGCATCACAGCATTTTCACTGATGTCCGCAGGTTTGGCGTAGGAATATTGTACGGTGCTGATCAAAGCAGAACAGTCTGATTTCATTAAAAAAGATGTGAGCCCTAATAGTGAAGGTATAGAGGGGCCTGTAATTACGGTGAATGTCTTGAATCTCTGATGCTTCACTGACTGTGAGTGTGAATCGCACGCAGGGCAATGGCTGGGGATGGAAAGCGGGTTCTTGTTTTTTTTTTTCTTTTCTGTCTTTTTTTTTTTTTTTCATGCACCCCGCTCCAGAAAACTTGTGAGGAAGATGCATAGCGCTGCAGAGCAACTGGATGTTCTAATTTCAGCCATGTATTTCGAAACAGCTCGGGCTGGAGCGTTTCAGAAGGGCGTCTGCTGCTTGTAAAGGGGGGAGGGGGCAATGGGTGAGGACAAGTAGGCCCTACATGCATCCCCCCCCCCCTCAAAAAAAAAATGTATTCATCCCAGTCAGTTTTGGTTATCCTGGGATACTTGTGTATGCATTTTGGTTTTTGCAAACTGGTCTTTCTTGAGCCCCTGTAATCCAAAAAACAAAGTCAAAGTAGGATGCTTAAGCAAAGAGTGTGTAATGAATTAAGTGGTGACTGATGTAAATAGTGCTCTCAAAATGTAAAGATTTGAAGGAAAAGCTAAATGCCTAAATCCATCCCTTGTGTTTACCTAATGACTTTCATTGAGCCAGCCCAATTTTCTGTAACTGGCCTGATATTTTCCTTCTTCTTGCCTTTCTAGGGTAAATCAGACATGGACAGCTACTTGTGCCCGCATCCACAGGAGGTAAATTCCAAAATGTTGTGCAGGGACACCTCTCTAACGCTAGAGCCGCCTTTCACCGAGGACTTCACCTCCCCGTACAGCGTAAACATGAGCCTGCTCCTCCCTGACGTCACGTACCTGCACCCCGGCCTCTGCAGGACTGTGAGGCAGATCAAAACCGAGCCATCGCACTCCCTGATGCATCCCACCTGCCAGGGCAACGGGGTACCACCAGCTCTCCCAGAGTACCCCGGTGTTTTCGGTGCGGCCGACAGCGCCGGTGGCAACTTTTTCATCAAACAAGAAGTGCCAGATTTCCAGGACGTTCCCCTGTTTCAGCTCCTGAACTCTGATTTGGAGCAGTTCGTTCATGGGTCACAGGTGAACTCCATCCCCATAGCCCCGCTGAGTCTTCCCATCGGGAACGTCCATGTGCAGAATTCTGCCAAACCCGCAAGCGGCCTGCAAAGCGAATGTTTCCCATTCAACCGACACTTAGGCCATTCGCTGAGATCTGCCTATTTGCCGCCTTCTCCGCCAAACTCTGAGCCTCCGAGTCCCGAAAGGGGCAAAGAGCTTCTTCACAAACTCTCCCCGCCTCCCTCCTACGAAGCCAGCATCGCCTCTAAGTTCAACACCCACAATTCCATTGATCTCGGACAAACTTCCAGCGTAGCTCCAATCCAAAACCAAGACCAAAACTCCACTGTTGGATTCGTCCAAAGTCCGGGCCCTGGGCCTGTCCAGCGTTCGAGCCTGACGCCGGTTCAGACGACGCCAGGTATCGGCCCGCTGTCCCCAGTGTTGGCCCAGTCGGCTCCCCATAAGTACAATCGAAGGAATAATCCGGATCTGGAGAGACGGAGGATTCACCACTGTGATGTCCCAGGTACCTCTTTGGTCCAGTTTGCAACAATTTTGACAACATTAAAACTAAAATGTTCCTTTTTTTAGACATAACATGCATGTACTTAATGATCTCTTTCTCTTTTCTTAGGGTGCAAGAAGGTGTACACGAAGTCTTCTCATTTAAAAGCCCATCTACGGACCCACACAGGTAAAAGTGTTTGGAGTTGCACTTCTTATTTTGGGGGGAAAGCTGTGATGTTGCCAGGCAGAATAATGTACTCGGCATGCAGATGCATTCAGTCTGCTGACAGTCCTGGCCCACATCTCGCTGCTGTCAAATCACATAAACCCTGCAGCTCTCGTAAAGGGGGGGGGCAGGGAGGAAGACAGGACACGCTGTGATTTATGGCTCACAGTTGAGGCGTTGTATCAGTTTTTCCGATATCAAAACTTCAGAATTAGTCATATCATCTGAGGCATGAAGGAACAATCTCTTAAATGACGTTGTTTATTGGAGGAGGGGGGGATTTATCATAAAAGACCGCCTGCTGTGGTTTTATTTTGCGATCTCTTTCTGCTGAAGGTGAGAAGCCGTACCAGTGCTCTTGGGAGGGATGTGAGTGGCGCTTCGCTCGATCTGATGAGCTGACACGCCATTTCAGGAAACACACCGGCGCGAAGCCTTTCCAGTGCGGAGTGTGCAGCCGCTGTTTCTCCCGCTCCGACCACCTGGCCCTCCACATGAAGAGGCACCAGAGCTAAAGGAAGAAAAAAAAAAAACCTCTTCTTAAAAAAAACACCATCAGATTTTTTTATTTTCCACTAAACATGGACTGACACTTGCATATCAGCAAATAAACAAAATTTCAAAACAGTGGGTTATTCCACTCACTCCCAAGTGGAGGATATCCGTAGCAGTGCTGGCCCACAAGTAATTGTTTCTTTTATTGTGAAAAGATTAAATGTTATTGTTGCCTTATTTTATTTCCTCACAAATGCCTCAACTCTTGGGGGAAGGGGGGATATTTGCAAAAGTGTCAGTCAAAAGCCAGTAGCCAAATGTAATAATGAAAGAATATTTGATCTTTGTAGGTTTTTATTTTCATTACGAACCACTTCAAATATCAATTTTATATTTAAGTTTTTCATTGTACAAATCCTATCGACACCATCTCACGCACTCATTTATTTAATGTACTTAAACGGCAAACTGCTAAGTGCGGATATCGTATGTAAGTATGCTATTAACTGGAAGGAAGAGTATGTTGTTTTAGCCAGCAGGTCAGAGGATGGATAGTTTTAAGTGTGTATTATAGAAAGTAACAGCAGTTAGTTAAAGCGAACAAGTTTGACACAGCAGGAGGAATGAAAACTGGAGTGAGCGCTGTTTGGAGCCATGTGGTGAGTTAGATAACCTTACTCAGAATAAAAATCTATATTTACTCAATTCACTGGTATAAATGGAAGACGATGGGTATAAGATGTGTTTATTTGGACCGCATTCTGACTGTTGTGATATGTGCGCTCCGACATCGTAGCAAAGACTCGGTCCCTACAGAGAGTGTCTTTCAGGCAGGTGCAGGAGATAAATCCTATTGGAGCATTTTTATGTCAAGACTTTTCGAGATTTAATTTAATAACTGGAAGGTTTAACTTGTTGTTTTGTCCCATGTCATCTTCAGCCACACAGCAATATTCACAGCAAACATAATTTGCAACTTTGAGAACGTGTTTTCTTTCTCCTCTTCTTTGTCATCATGGACAAGTCAAGACTCTTGGCTTGGTTTTGGCTGCAAATGGAGATTTTTTATTATTTCATTTAAGTTTTTTTTTTTTTTTTTTTTTGACTGAGCACCTGCCAGTCTGAACTACTCTCCACATGTGCCTTTAACTGCTTTTTTGGATGAATGAAAAACAAAGCTGCCCCGTTGGGACAATGTTCTCTTATCAGGTACTGTGCTCTGTTGGCTCTCTCTCCTTATTTCCACAATATAGCCATCTCTATTACATGACCAAATTTCTTTATAATTTGAATATGATTGAACAAAATAGTTTTTAAATAATTTAAGATGTATATATTTTGTATCTGATGTTTGAGGATACAATCAATTGATTGTTTTGGAATGTGTAGAGATTTTAAATCGTTATTTTATTTTCTTAAATTCAGATTATTATTTTTTTTTTTTTTTTGACAGAGTCCAAGAAGGATGAAGTTACAGGATACTGTTACAGTCTAAACTGTTACTGTCAAAACTTTATCCAGCCAAGAAAGCAGCTCAGTGGATTTAATATGCCAGTGAGTTACTGCAATACTGCTAAAATATGAGTATTACAAGGTTTTGTGTCAAAGCTTCACATAAACATGTAGCCTAAAGTGATGTCCAATGGAGCCATGTGACCCTCACAGTGCAAATAAAGGTTTTGTGTTGAAATTTGTTTGAATGTCTGATTTTTTTGAAAAGAATATATTGTTAAATACGTAGTTTTTCTGTGTGTATGTTTCTGGAATACATATAAAAACTATGTTAATCTGCACTGGTTCTTTACTTTTCAAGCTTTATTCATCACAGAAGGGTTCTCATCTTTTTGTCCACATTTTTAAAACGTAGTTTTAGATGATTATAGGTGGGTACTGAAGTGGACTCAAATTATTAGTGATGGATTTTGGAATGTTGGTCATTTTTGCTCTAGAAATGATGCATTTTGTGTGAAAATAGCAAAGATGCACCAACATTTCAGATGTCAGGGCTCATTAACATACTTGGTATTTTATAGCTGCAGCTACTAGTTACACGCTGAAAGATGTGATGAATACATGAATTCAAAAGTATGTTGTGGTTATAGACGCCTGCTAACAGACAACCATTGAACTACAAAAACAGGAACAGGATAATTAAATGCAAAATTTCAAAGCTGCAGTTTTACATTCAAAAAGAATCTACAAAAAGTTCTCTTCCCACGCTCCTCCCAGTGTCCTAAATTACCTTTTCTGACGAAGTCATTTAAGGTTTATCTGGAATTTAGTAATTAGTCAGGAGCACGCCCTTAAATAAAGCCACTCTAATTTGAAACTGTGCGTAATCAAAACAAAAGGAGACTTTTTGTTTTTTTTGTTCTCAGTTCTTTTAAAGTGTCATCGATGTGACTCATGGCAAAGGTGTTGACAAAAGGTGCCAAGAGACGCTGTACGAACCGCAGAAGGTGTCTGAGCTTGTCCCGAGTTCAGAGGAAGTTACCTGTGGGGATCACGCTTATTTACCTTTTTTTCTCCCTCTCTCTGTACTTTACTTACTGTACAGTGTAGCCTACACGGTATAAGCCCCAGTGAGTGATAAATCATGCAGGTGATATACTGCACACTAAAATGCTTAGTGGAGTGGGAATTGATTGTAATCATCTGAATCCTTTTGCTGGCTGACAGAAACATTCATCCAGATCCAGTTATAATAGAGCACCGTACAGGAAGTGCAGGGCGTTTTCTTTTAAGTGTAACCTGTTCTGAGAAACTGTATTCACTTCAAGCTGTGTTGCAACATACCAGGTCTTAAAATACTCTCTGTTGTGTTTAGATAACAACAAAGCGGTATGAAATTACACAGCGGAACATGATTTACTTGGATGTTTGAATAAGTCTGAGTGAGGAAATTCAGCTACCGAAGACCGTGTGTTGAAACAGATCGATTGGCAAATCAAGTTTCTTGTCGTCCTGCCGTAGCGATCACATGTACTTTGTGTACAAACTACTGTACCGCATATCAGCTATGATTTAAAATGGCTTCACTAATACCAAGATTAGGTTTCTGAATGCCAGTGAATGCGAGTACAGTGCTCAGATGTCTAAGTGACATCGAAACCGCATACCATCCATCTCAGTCATAGATAGCAACTCGCTCCATCCCAGTCTGTTACATACAAAATGCAACTTTATTAACCTTCATGCCTCCATTCATATTAATATACATGTATATGTTTGAACTTATTTTAATTTCACAGCTCCATCCATATGAAAAATACAGAGAAAAAGGCAAAACACTGACTGGATACTTAAACAACTCTTGGAAAGAAAAGAAAAAAAAAGTGTAACAGAAAGAAAACAAAAAAAAAGAAAGAAAAGAAAAGGACACCTGTTTTCTTGAAGTTTTGAAAAATATCAGGATTAAAAATTTCTTTTACAGATGTGGAATTCCATGAGCAGAATCTCCCTTTTGAAGCAAATGCTGAGCAATATCACATTTTTTTTTCTCTTTTACGGTAAGAATGAAAAGATCTGAATATATTTACACTACACTCACTTTACATAAATACAGAAACAACGATTACTGTACGTAATATCAGCAAAACTTGAAACATAGGCATTGGCTTCACTACTTAAAAATTTTCAAAAAACCAGGAAATCAAAAGCAGATGTTACACAGAAAGTAAAATATATATTGAACTGATAGAAAGTGTAAGATCAGTATTCATTAACAAAGGCGTCGCTCTGCCGCCACTGGAATCCCAGCCACAGGATTTTTTTCCCTGTGAGTAAGATTCCTCATTATCTTCCATGGAATCACTATGTTGAATTGATGTGCTGAAGCTGAAACATCAAGAGGCCTTTGTAACTCAGTTTTGTTCCCCTTGGAGGAAGTGACTTATTGCAAGCAAAGTAATAATGTGTGCTATAAACAGCCTGTCAGAGTGTTATGGGAGGATGCTGCATTTGACACAATGGTATAAGGCTCAGTGCGAAAACAAAAGTTCAACATTAGAGGTCCGACTTGCATAATGTTGTCTGTGCTTTTTTTATTTATTTTTTTCTTCTTCTTCTCTCTCCACCTCTCCAAAATTCATGGTTTGAAATTTATTAATTGAAGCACACGTGTTGAAATCGAAACTCTGCACAGAGCAGTTGATATTACAAGTTTGTGATATGAGGCACTATTCATTATTATTGCATAACTTTGACCCTGGTTACCGTAACAAAATTATGCTTTAAAATGAGGAAAGAGATGCTGAAGGGAAATACAATACACCCTGTCCTGTGGAGACACCGTCTTCAAGTCTAATTGAAATTTCCAAAAAACTGGTGTATTAAGGCATGCAACATCATGTACTGAATACAGGAGTACATGTGTTGTTGATATGTGCTTGATCCGTATAATTTCTTGTCCGGTTATAGCAAAATAGCAACACAGGGAATCGAGTACCTTAATACGGTCGATGTATATAAATAATTTGTTGGTTATAGCAAACACTGGTTCAGCCTTGGGAATAAAAATGATTTGATCATGAACTTGTTTAACCACAAACCCAAAAAATAAAAGCAAACCGTTATATAACATCACATATGATAATTTACATGATGAATACCATTAGCCCCATTTCACTGTATATCAAATTAGATAAATTACAGTCTCTGAAAAAAGACTTTACATGTATAAATGTATTTCCTGCATCTACTGATCAAAAGCCCTATTTTTCCAATGTATATACAGGATGTAGAACTTTGTAATAAGTTTTTATCTTCACTATCACATATATTACAACATTTCAAAAGATCCTTTTTACAGAAGAGAAAGAGTTTATATGCAATGACGAAGTGCCCCCTCAATCATAAAATGTTCTAATACATTATATGGATGATAAAATATGATGATGATTATTCGCTTATAAATTGACATCTGAAATAAAATTATTTGAAAATTATACTAATAAACAAACAAGGTGCTGATATGCTTTTTTTTTTTTCTTTTTTTTGCCAAAATGATAATACAACTGGGCATAATGACATGTGCACAAAAAAAATTATACATAAATAATGATAACATACATTACCATTCATTAATTACATCCGAGGGGTGTCTCATATACGCGCGTGTGGAAAATTACTTCCTGGATTTTGGCTATTTTGAGTGAAAGTGAGAATCCAAATTTTCAGGCGTGTGTGTGCATTAGTGTGGGAGTGTATGGATTTCAAGGTAGGATAATCAAAAAGGTTACCATTTCTTTTTACTGGCTTCGGTCCAATAAATGCATTTGGCAGCACTATCAAATAGCACAGGGTTGGCCTGATACTCTGGGTTTATGTCTGAAGCTTTTACACAGCATAAAAGAGCGCTGGAAATACTTGCAAAGATGCCTCTTATTAAGACTATAAAAATATATTTCTAATTGAATTTCCTGATTAAGGTGAAGTGATGCTCTCCGAGACATATTTCTGCCAGTAACTGCATCTAAAAATGTGCTCTTGTTGTAAATACATGATCTATTTCTGTAAGTTATTACGTGTGTATGCATGTGTGCAATTCCTGCATTGGTTTTTGTTGTTCAGCATTTTATTGAACCAAATCTCAGGTAAATCAGAGAACAATCTTAACATACATCTGGTGCGAGGTGACAACATTTCAAGTGACTTTCTGTGTTTGAGACGAAACAAAATCAACTATAAAAAAAAATAAAATCACACGGAGCAAATCACCAGCTGAGACTCATCAGATTAGAGCTTTGTATTGGAGCTACAAACCCAGTCGGTAACAGAGGGAGTCGTGGTACAGAGCGAGGAGTCGGCTGAGCTAGAAACTTCTCCTCGAGATATTGACATCAGCAAACAGAACAACAAGGAGGGTGACGTTCCCACCCCATCAATTTGTTCAGAATGTATTGCTCTTCTGTATTGTACACCGGGTACCACACTATTATCCCTGTAACACTTCGGTCGGTATCGATGTCAGCTTATGGTCAAGTGCTGCTGCGCTGTGCAAAACCACAACACGAATTCCTTTTTTTTTATTATTTTCTTTTAAACTGAGAAAAACAGAGTCGAATGATTTTTAAAAAAAAAATTAATAATAATAAAAAATAAACTGGGACAGAATGAAAGCATGAGTCTGTAAGGTGCCTCTATGTTTTATGTTTTTTTTTTTTCTTCACATACTGGAAATCTCCTCTGATTGTTTCAAAGTTCACTGTACATGAGGGGTTTGTATTTTTCTGAGTCAAACAGAAGCAATAAGCAGGCATTTAAGAACAAAACAAAAAAAAAGATTCAATAAAAAACATTTCCATACTGAAAGTATATTTATCCTTTAAGATTGCACTTTACTGATTGCTAATCACAGCTCAAAATCCACCAAAGGGTTTTTCTTTTTTTTAATTATTATTTTAAGAAAATGCTTTCAAGAGGCTCAACATAAAGAATAGCACTGATGAGATTTGGGGAGTTTGTCCAGCCATGTGAGTGAATCCTAAATGGTTTGTCTTTGCTGGTGCGATGATATGCAGTTTCCATTGTTTGAAATAAAGCAATGAAAGATGTGCTGATGAGGTTGATCCATTCAGGTTGTGGTGATTTGAGTTAATGTTGCTTGCTGGCTATGAAAAAGGAGAAAAGTCCAGCCCTCTCTTAGCTTCCATCAGGGGCGCCTCAGATCTAACAGCAGACTCCAAAGGGGGGGGTGAGGAAAAAAAAAAAGAAACCATCTGTGGATTGATGGTGCCCTCTGCTGGTCGCAAATCAGACTCACAGGGAGGCAAAACAATACTGCCTGTTAACTCCAACTACGCCCAAGTCCTTTCCTGTGATCCAGTCCGGGCCTCTTTCCTGGGGATATCCATTCCTTTACAATGGGGTCTTTCACATTATGAATGCTGAAAAAAAGCAGCCATTTGAACAATAATGAAAAGAAAGATACCAAAAAAAAAAAAAAGAGAGAGAGAGAACGTTGCAATTGCATTATATATAGATTTTTTTTTTGTCCAAATAAAGAGTGCGAGTTCATCTTAAAAACCAAAGTGAAACATTTACCAACAGTGCTGTAAAAGACAGTTCCCTATTATACTCCAAACAATGACAATAAAAGATCCTGCCGTCCGTTCCTTCCAACCCAAAGAGGATCCAGAAGTGACCCTGTTTTGTGCTCCGCAAGCTCTGTGCACCTTCGTCCGTCCGTCCTTCCGTCCTCTCCATCTTCTCTCCTTGTGAAGGATGAGGGTGTGTGTGCGTCTATGTATGTGCGTCTACGTGTGTGTGTGCATGTATGTGTGCGTCCAGGCCAGCTGAAAAACATTCACAGGGAGATCCCGCTCCCCCGGCTGCCTGTAGAAATGTGTGACTGTGTGTGTGTTTAAGCGTGTGTGCATGTGTGCTTCTGTTCCATTGACCTCTCCTCTCTTTGCAGCTCGGCGTCTGATTCACACCAGCATGTGTCTCCGTCGGTGCAGGGCCAAGTGGTCGGATCTGGAGAAGCTGCGGTCACAGTCTGCACACTTGAAGGGCTTCACCCCCGTGTGTTTTCTGTAATGCCTCGTCAGCTCGTCGGAGCGGGCGAACTTCCAGGTGCAGCCGTCCCAGGTGCATTTGTATGGCTTTTCCCCTGCACAGGAAGACAGGAAACGCGCTCAGTCACAAGTTCGCCTCACTTCATTCCTTGCACACATGCTCTCCAAGTAAGAGGGACACACTTAGAAGCCCTTGAAAGGTAACACACACATATTTTAATTTCTGGTAATGTTTTCGAACAGAGTTTGTATGTTCTCCCCATGCAGCATGGGTTCTCTCCGGGTTCCTCCCACAGTCCAAAAACATGTTGAGGATAATTGGTGATTCTAAATTGTCCGTAGGTGTGAATGTGAGTGTGCTTGGTTGTCTGTCTCTAAGTGTAGCCCTGTGATAGACTGGTGACCTGTCCAGGGTGTCCCCTGCCTTCAAACTAAGTCAGCTGGGATAGACTCCAGCCCCTCGTGACCCTAGTGAGGATTAATCTGTGTATAGATCATGGATGGATGGATGGATGTTTGAACATATGCAAGATGCTTTTACTTGTTATTTCACCATTTTCATACATTTCTATTCGGTATGAAAATCAGTTTGCAGACCTGAATCTTGCTTGAGTCGTGTAATCCATCCTTATGAACAACAAATCTGCATTATCACCACATAGTGAGGCAGTTTGATGCACTTCAGAAGAAATACTGATTGCACAAATAAATTCTACATTAATGTCTACTTTAAACAGTACATAACTTCTGCAACTTTCAAGACTCTGCTAATAGATTTCCATATTTTGAAAAACTCAATGGATGTCTGATGTTATAGAAAAAAATGCATAATTTGCAGAATGGTTAGCTGTTTTGTAAAGTCTACAAGATTTGTAGTAAATTACCTGAACTACTGGTCATCCAATACGCTGGAGCTTTGCACAGTGCCAGCAACTTGGATGAAAACTCAGAAATGCAATGCAATTTTTTTTTCTTTTACTTTTGATGATGCATCATTTCTTGTGTGGTGCTACAACATCATGCATGTGAAATATACAGTTTACAATCCGTATACAGCTTTTACTTAGAGCAGACAATGAGCCATCAAAAAGACCTCGAGGCAGCCGTAACCACAGTCTCCATCCATAACACTTAGAGAAAGTGGTGATTCTAGTAGTGATGGGTGTAATCTTTGTAGCACTTCTCATGAAATGAACTCACGTTACAGACAGTTCATCCTTAATAAGATTGCATCCAAATGTCCCTTTGCATGTGTCTGAGTTTAAAGGCTTACTCACTGTATTACCCCAATGGGACTCAGGTTTATACTGGAATCATTTCTGATTCAGATCCAGCTAATGTTGAGTGACAGAACTTTTTCTTACACTCATGATATATGAAACCTGTCAGTGAATGTACTTTTGGTCCAGTTGAAATCAGTATGAAAAGTTGTCTACAAATGTTCCTGGAAAATGCCGACCGTGCTGCATTAATGGTCAGTTGACTTGATCTTTAGGTGTTTACTTTTGCATTCAGATTGAATTATCTACCCTTTATCTTGCTTTTGGTTTGTTATTTATAATCCCCTGGTCTTAGTTTTGTTTTGGCATTCAAAGTTCTTCAAAGTGACTCAGCCTCTGAAGTGGTTTTCTGTGCGGCCTCAGCACAATATGACCCGGGGTTACAAATTTGCAAGCCAGTGGCGGGCAACAGAAACAAGAGTGTGACTTTCCGCAAAATGTAAATGTCATCCCACTTAGACTTGAGCAGACATCGTACCGTTAGCAAAAATAAAATCGCGGCACATAAACACATACACACACATGCTCCGACTCACTGACCTGTATGCGTCCTCCTGTGTGCTTTTAAATGCGAGCTTTTGGTGTACACCTTATTGCAGCCCTCAAAGTCACATCTGTGGATTCTTCTCTTTTTGGAATCTGGCGACTCTGACCTCCGGGGGCGCCGTATGCTGTCAATACTGAACGGGGACATGGAACTGCAAGAGGGACAATAAGAAGCAACATAAAAGCATTATTAGGCTGTGACGGTGACTTTGCTTGACATCACTGTGCTCTGAACCCGGTCTGAATAATAATTCTACAGTTGTGAGGTTTTGAAAGCGATACTTTACAGTATTTTTGGGAAACAAAGCCTACTGAAGCACTAATTTCTGACATATGTAACATATGCAACATATCAGAATTTCTGCAGAAACCGGTGCAATTTTCTTTTTTAAATTAGTTAACTAATTAATTTATTTATAATGTGAATTTGTGCATAACAATTAAAGAAAATAAAGTTAAAACTAGTTACAAGGCAAAAGTGATTCGTATTGTAATGACACTGGTCCCAGAGCTATTGTGTTATAAAATAAAATTAAAAACTAAATATAATATAACAGAACAAAATTTTTTTTTTAAATGTTGTTGAAAAAATGGAAAAAAGGCCCTTTGTTCACAAAAAAGATGAAAATGAATAAACACTTTTAATAGGTCATAAGTTATGAAGTTTTGTTGATGGGAAACATGTAACAAAAGGTTAATCCTAAAATGTGCACAAATACTTTTGGGCACTTTAGTGCAATTTTAGCTGCAAATAAACTGTAAAAAGCTGTGAAAAAGTAAACAATATCTGTGAAAAAGCCCCTCTGTAATTGTCCTCCAATGCAATACCTCAAGTATCATATTAGTTCTTGTTGCTAAAAACAGCAAATTTACAGAGTAAATCAACATTAAAGTTTTCTGACTTCTTGCTTACTGCACATTCCAAGTACAAAAATAAAATGAGCACACTGTAAAGACTGCACATACAGACTATTACTACAGTCGTCCTCAAATGTACTCAGAATCTCCCATTAAAGGAAAAAACAGCTGTCACTGAAAAAAGATGAAACTGACAAAAGTAATAATAAACAAAAGAACTATGAAAATCATGACATTGCTTTTGAATTGTGGTTCAACAGAAATATTTCAGGCAATCACTGCAGTCAAGTGTTTTCTGTAACTCAGACTTCTGCACCTGTTGACAGGTATCTTGATTTTGGCCCACTGCTCATCAGCAAAGTGCTCTAATTTTATTTTTTTTAATTAATTATTCTTTTCAACCACAATTTAAAAGCAATGTCTTATTTCAATAAATTATAATTTAGCAAATTTTTATTTATTATTACTTTTTTCAGTTTCTAATTATTTGAGGGACTATAATGAATTTTACCATTTCGTTAATGGAAGTGTATGAATACCTTTGAGGACGACTGCGTGTGCGGTGGCAGAACAGCAGCGTTGCCAGAAGATGGCAGTGCAACTCTGCCGTCGAGTTCCTCTGAGGACACCGATGAGGTAAGAATGCTGGTATTCTTATGCCTCCAGTACTTTCATTAATCAAAAGTGGAGGCATGAAGGAGTTTTATTTCTCAATGCGGCCCAGTGAGGTTAATGACTCCTGAGTTATTTCTGGCATCAATACATTTTTGACATGACATTTCCTCTCCAATAAGTAGTCGATATCACTGTTAATTATATAATTTGTCACTGCTGTAAGTGAACCCCTGCAGCTGAGCGTGTTTGTGCTTCTACGTGCTCGCCAATGTAGCTGCAGTGCAGATTCATACCTGCGGTTAATGAAATTTAAATATCTCGTTTTAAATATAATGCTGCACGCAAACCAAAAGAAAGGCTTGTGGTAGTGGATCAAGGAGTTCATGTCTCACCCTGGGATTGTTGACTGTGCACCTAAACACATGACTGCTGCACACACCCAGCAAATTGGCAAGAAAAGGGAGATACGGTAGAGGCAGAAAACAAGAGGATCTCTGTTGACTAAAGGGGAGGAGTAATATCTGTGGGATATGTTTAATGGGGCTCTCTCAGCAGCCTTGGAGTCTCTGCTGTGGATGCTGAGAAACAGGTAAAAGGCGGGGGGGGGGAGAGAAAATAGGAAGGAGGAGGAACAGCTAACATCACGTTAGACAGATTTGAAAGGGAAGCAGGTTGCTGCCAGACAGACCCTCCTGTGAACTGTCTTCACCACACACAACCCACTTCCTGTCTCTGCGTCGCTCACGATTTGTGAAACTCAGGCCTCGGATACAGTATGCGCTCACAGTCACACACAGCTCCACATGGACTGCATAAATACACAGAAATGCAGAAGAAAACACACACATACATACAGATCACCTGTTACTCTTGGCTTCCAGCCAATCTGAAGCTGTACAGGAAATGAGCACACGGGTCAGATATGAAGTGAACTCCAACTCCCCTCTCGTTTCTCTCTCTCTCTCTCTCTCTCTCTCTCTCTGCTCGCTTTCTCTACGCTGCGTCGTGATGTCAAACTCGAGCATTAAAAACAAAGAGGAGGATTCATGCAGTGATTGATGAGATTACTCTAATCTAACAAGAGAAACGCGGACAAGCATCTAGCGCCTGAGATAATGTTGGCCTCCGCGCGTGGAGGAAAGCGAAGGAGGAGGAGAGCCAGTGGAAACACTCTGAGCTCAGACAGCGAGCAGATGAGGCGGATGTTTACATTCTGACTTCATCCGACCAAGTGACTTCATGATTATGATATAATTTAGGAAGGTCTGACTACAAGAGCTTCTAAAACAAAGAACAAGCAACGTCGTAAATTCAATTCATTTAATGCGGCAAAACTGCTTCTCCACTGGCGGTGATACGTCTGTCATCACTGCTGCTCCGTTTCAAGAGCTCAGTGACAGATTTCTGTTTTAATTAATTAGGCGTATTTATGGACATTTTGGGTATTCAGAAAAAAAAAGAGTGAGGAAAGTGAGAAATGCTCCAATCCTCACAGAAGAACAGAACCGCTGGAACAAAGGTAAACTGTGACAAACTTGTAAGCCTATTTAGATGACACTTTAATGGGCCCTGTGAGGACATCAGGCCACAACAGAGAAGTAACAAAAACCAGTGTGACCAACTGAAATAGAATCGTAAATGTTAAAGAATAAAACAGGATTAAGCAATAAAATATGACAAAATAATTAGTATAACTGAACTCTGAGCTGCTGAAAGCTTGAATGGAAACAGGATTGATTGGAACAATCATCCAATCAACTTGCAACTGACACATCATCAATTCCAGACTATTTCGATAATCAAGTTAACACTGTGAAAAGTGATTTATCTAAAACAAATGCAAGATATTTGCAGGTTTGATTTTAAATAATGTCAGAATTTCCGGTATTTCTTTGCTTCGGGTGGTTGGTGAGGCAAAATTACAGGCGTGAAAATGTCACTTTAGGCTCTGGAAACCTGAGATGTTTCACTATACAAAATATCGATTAAATGAACAAATGTGACTGAAAATAATTACGAGCTATAATCTGCTTTAATGTTGCTGATGTCAAGCACAACATCTCAGCACAGCCTCCTGTTTTAACTGCAGTGTTTAGGTTTTTTTGTGCTTCCTTACAGGTTGTGAAAATTCCCCCACCACTCGTGTATTCTGCATAGCTCCAGAAAGATGCTACTAGTGGTGCAAGTTGCTATTTATATAATCAGCCTATCTGTATGTGCAAAAACATAGTTAAAGTTCACTGCGCTAACACAGCTGTTTACACGAGCAAAATCTGCGAGGGCCACCTGAAGATCAAGTGGCTCACACTTAATACGTTCCTGTGAATAATTATGAGAGAAAGGTTACATTTAGGGGTTGTCTTTTTATTAAAAACTCGGCTTTAATTGTTGCATCAAGAAAAAAAATGTAGTAAAATCCACAAAAGCCGTTGAACACAATATTCTCTCCATGTCTCGGCTACAGAGTAGCTGCTGCATGACAATACATTTGTTGTATTTTCTCTTTAAAGCCCAGAGGCAAATTCACTCTGCCTTGAACCCTGAGTCACCGCAGCATTATGGCTGTATGAATGTGTCTGGTTGTGTTTCCCAAAGTAGCAAAGAGAAATGGGAAGTTCAGGCAGATTTCAAACAGACTTCTCTTTTAGCTTCTTTTGTTTCCCCATTTTTTTTTAAATAGTTTTTTTTAATCTTTCTCTCCAGGAAAGAATGACGGGGAGCAGTGGTGGAGGTGAGGCAGGGGGGGGAGTGAATGTGTGTCACCTGTAACAGGGATTTCCCACAATAACAAACAGAATACTTTTTTTTTTCTTTTCCTAACTTCTCACCGGCAGCGGGGTCATAACACCGGCTACGACGCAGCGGCGGCAACAACAACACAGCCTGCTCCCTCAACAGAGCCACTGTAATAGTTGGAATTATCAAGAAAACAGGAAAGGAAGTGTGTGTGTCTGTGTGAGAGAGTTTGTGCGTATGTGTGTGTGCATTGGAAGACTGCCCACTGGGCATTCCTGTACCTGTCCGAGGATACTGCCCCTCACCTCACCCGCCTCCCCTCCCTCCACCTGCTCTACTCCGTGCCCCTGGCTCCTTGGGGACCAGCCAGACTTCAGCAGAGACAAACCCTTCCAACACCAGCCCCTGCCCCCAGCACACACACACACACACACACACACACACACATACATGCACAAAAACACACACCTCTCTTTCTCTGTCTTCCTCTCTTTCACCCGCACTCTCCCACAATAGCCTATCCAGCGGTCCCCAGGGAAACGCATGAATATGGAGGAGGCTGCCCAAGAAGCACATGATACACACACATACACACACGCGCACACACACACACTCTATCTTAACTCTCTCCTTTCACTCATTTATTTATATATGGATACCTGGATTGGAGGCTGCAGGCACTCCCATCCTCCGCCCTTACACTTCTCCTCTCTGATGCTCACTGGATGACTGCTTGTGTAAATGTGGTGCCAAATTATATAAAGCTTTCCCTTTTTTTTTCACACTCGCAGTGTACACATTTAAATGAAAAGAAAAGAAATATAGCAACACAGTGGACTGATATGTTTATAAGTCGGCTTCTGTTGCAGTGCAGATGTCCATAGAGTGCATGTGTTGTGTCAATACAGAATGCACATTCTTCCTCTCTGTGGCCAAACCGGCGTGTAACTCAAGAAGACTACAGACTGCTTTGTTTTTCGCAGACAAACATGCAAGTCTGTGTTCCTGTTGACAATGGCTGACCTCCTTCTGGAACCAGCTGTTCTGTCCACTGTGCAGAAACACGTGCATGCATACAGTACAAACACACATACACCGGCGGATTAATACTTACAGGCGTGCACACATAGTTTTTCACACGCACGGCCACGTACGCGGTTTCCACACAGCACAGTCTGCACTTTGCACACAGAGAAGTGAGTGTGTGGGCAGGCCCTGGCAGGGCATAGCTAAGCCTGGCTGGTGATTTATCTCCATAGTGAAAGCTTGGGCAGTGAAAGGTTGGGCCCTGCCAACCTCTGTTCTCCTCTGACCACTCGGTGCCCACGTGTGGCACTCAGGGGCACGCCTGTCCCTTTCAATAACCTGCACTGAAACCTGAGTCTTCCACTGTGTGTGTGTGTGTGTTTGTGTGAGTTTGAAACATACTTGTACTACTGCATGAATGAGGCAACAACTATTTTTTTGTGCACTACAATATCTCATTTGGTTTAATTACCGTAAATGTTCACGCAGCCAACAGTGCACAAACAAACACTGCAATGTCAACCCCTATAAGCTCCAGAATCACCACCAAAACACAGCGATTTGGGCGACCATCAGCCGCAGCCTTGTTAATGTCGCTGCATCATTAACAGGATTCTCACAGAGTCCTGGAATACTTTCCTTACAGTTAGTCTAAATACCAGTCCTATGGGTATAAACTTGAGTCTGGCCAGGCTGGTAGTTATGACTGTTCTGGGTTTATGGGCAGCAGAGAAAGAGGGAAGGGCTGAACCAAATGTTTCTCTGCATCTGATTTCCTTGCTTCTGATCAGAATGCTATATGCTGTCATCCACTGGAGAGGAAGTCTTTTTCATTTCCACACAGATGGACTGGCACCACAGGAGTTGCTGTCTGTAGGCCGAACAGGGCATTAAGTATGTCTGAGCCATATGCATAGAGGCATATAGATGCACACCCACGCAGACACAGCCAAATGTGGAAGAGCAGTTACAAAACCACAGAAATGCACATTGTGAAGCCTTACAATAGGTTTGATATTAATGCTCCTGCCTGGGGAATAAGGGAAACATTTCTGTCCGCTGTGCTCTGCAACTGTTCTTTACATTTAAATTGTAAAGACAGGAAACCTCACTAGTTTCGCAAACAGTGACTAATGGCAAAAGGAAAAAAGTTAGAATGAGGAGCCCACGTTAGAACCATGTAAGAAGATTTACATCTCCTGCACACCTTAAGATATACTCAAAAACAACATCTTTTGAACTTCTTGCACCGTTTCTAAGAGCAGTGACATTTTAAAACCCTTTTTTTTTCTTCGTGGTTGCTGAGTAACTGGAAGATGTTAACAGGCACACTATGGTGTAATTATTTACTATTTGGATGAGTAATAACGTAAGAGAGGATAGTTTGCAAAAATTCCATTTTCACAGCAGAACAAATTTCCATATAACCAAATTTACCACCAGTGGGAAGCCTTGCTGTCATAAGGCTGAACGAAACTTACAGTTTTGGAGAGAGATACATATATTTTTTTAAAGCTTTTTAGAGTCGCTAAAATAGAAAAAGTCAACGTGGAGATTTCATGCACTACTTTAAAGACCAAGGTACTCACTCTTGTACGGCGCGGGCTATAGACAGCGCAGTGGAGCCGGTCTCATTAACACTATCCAAGGTCACGTTTGGCAGGTCGTCGTCATCGCTGTCACTCTTGATCTGCCTTGGCGACAGGCCGTTGGGGTCTGTGTGTGCTGTGAGGATGGTACATAGACACGGGAGTCAGGCACATGACACTGGAGCTGGCGCTGTAAACTTATAAGGCATATCACATGGTGTGTGTTGGAAAGTGTTTCCAATTGTAATGAAGTAATCACATGTCAATCTTTTATCCAATTAAGTCAGTGGGTTTTTTTTTATTGTTGTTGTCATACGCCATCATTTCACATACATCTGATTGCATGGTGTGTGTGTGTGTGTGTGTGTGTGTGTTTGCCTCAGAGCTGGTCTTTTCTAAACAGTGTGCACAACAGTTGCATACTCAGAGAAAAGCATGAAAAAGGACACACATGCGCACGTAATTTTTATCCATCCAACCATAGAGATAAGAAGCTGGGTGGGGTGCTGTTCGACTGCTGTCTCTGAGCAGTGTGTGGGAACATTTGTTGTTGTGCGTGTTTGTGTGAACACTGAGTATGTCCAACTTGTAAGTACATGTGCATGCATGGGTGCAACTCCGCTGTGCTTCAGATTCCCTACATGACAGAGAATAATATTCACAGTAACGACAAACCTTCCACATAAAATGCCTGAAGACAACACAAAAGCCTAAATACATCTATTAGCTGCAGAAATCTTTTTTTTTTCCCCCAGAAATACTCACTAATTAGCAAGCCAGACCTTTTGCTTTACCTGATTCTCCTATTTTGCACAGTAACCAAGAAACAAAAAAAAAAAGGGGTTGAGTATCCCGGGTGTTACGGAACCACGACCCTCTGAGTCTCAGTGGACTCTTGAGCTACACAACAAAGTTCCATCTATTACACAAGTTGTGACAACTTCTCCCTTGGACAACTCATTGGATATATTGCCAGAGCCTGAAGCCATTCTGTCCTTGCTGTCTCCATGGACACAGGCTGCGAACATCCTGGATAACTCAAGAAATGGATGTCAAAAAAATAAAGACCTGCTGGAGACTGCTTGTCAAAGAAAAGGTACTGAAAATCTATAGCACAAGATTATGCAGCGATTTTTAAAAAACAGATAATACAGAATATACAACAATATGGCTAAGATTTTCGAACGGCTGCTCTTGTTTCTGAAGATGAAATTATCACAAACACTGAATATATTGAGACATACGGTATTTTCCACTGAGATCCGCAGCATCCTTGTCTACTGTACGCTGGGTGCTTTTACGAGCTATCAGGACTTCACCTCCTCTGCCCTCTCAGCTGAGACTGTGGCCATAATGGCCCATAATAATGGTCTAGAGTTAGGAGCAGACATGGTGTTATTATTGAGGAGGGGTAAGGAGGGGAGGGGGTGCACAGAAATAATGCTGTAACTCTGTTGGAGCTTTTGCTTTTAAAGGTTTCTACTGTTGTCGTAGACTAAGACATGCAGAGTGGTCACCAGCTCGCCTACCCTATGGAAAACCTGTAATTAGCTAGAAATGCATCGTGTGTTGGAAAAAGGGGGTATTTTGAACGAGGGACACAAAGGAGGAGTGGTGGAGAGGTGGGCAGAGCACCGGATTTCTTTCTTTCTCTCCTGTTGTTTCCAGTCAAGCCCTGTTTCCATGGCAACCTCCTGCCGGAGACAGGGAGACAGCAGTGAAAGAAAGGGTACCCGCCCTCTCTTAAAGAGGATGGCCAACCTGTTTGTGCATGTGTGTGTGTGTGTGCACATGGAAGAGCGGATGTGTGTGTGAGTGTTTTTGCATCTATGTTGAGAACTTCAATAACCACATTAAACTTCTCATAGGGATCTGAAGGGGATTTAGTTTGGTTTTGGCCTAATGTCAACAACTTACTCGTTTAATAGTAACACCTGAGAGAGAAAACTCCAGATAAGGTAGGACCGGGGAAAAAAAAAAAAAAGGACATGTCATGTCGAAAAACGGAGCTATGATATCTTGCAGCACTTCATTATTTTTATTTGACTTGGGAATTTTTATGGAAACGTCACACGAAGCGCAATAAATAGCAAAATGTTCTGTTTGTCGACCGGTTGCTCTCTCATTAAAAGTAACTGCATCCACCACACCCAGCACTCATTCACCCTATTTCCTTTGTGCTCAGTGCCTTCAGAGCTGATGTTGGACGGCGCATATGTGCATGCATGTGTTTGTTTAAGTGCCACCCATCTTCAATATCCATCCACACCCTCTTATGCAAGTCTTGTTTTTCCTGTCCTTCCTTCTTTCCTCTCCTCTCCTCGGGAGCAGACATCCCAGCATTTAAAACGCCCATCTCTGAGGACCACCCCACCCAGCCGGCCAAGTGTCTGTCTGAGCACATGCTCTAATTACACATCGCTGTTTGTGCCTGCTTGCATGTACAGTACGCGCACGGGTGCGAGTGCAAGTCTAAATGTGTCGATCCGTTCTGCAGGGAGTGACAAGAAGCAACCTCTTTTACAGCCAACAGTTGCCCTGTGTACAGCTCAGACTTGGACAGAAACACCTACTGTAGGCTCTCTTCCAGTGGTTGGCAGTAAAACCACACCCAGAGAGAAAACCAATAACACAGTCAAGGCGAGGCCAGAGAGGTCTAATGCTCAAACTACCTCAGATGTTTGCTCCTCGACAGAGGGAAAGGTACCTGCACTAGAGGCTATTAAAGATGGGAAAGGCATTTCAATCTGTGAACCTTGTCCTCACTCTCAGGCGGTAACATTTTTGCCTGAGGGGTCATCTCTGCAAACATGTACTCTGTCAGGCTACACAGCAGGGCTTCTGCAAGTTATTTTTTTTACTAAAGACAGTGCAGAACATCTGGGCATCACAGTTTGTCATTGAGATCACACAGGTGTTGCAGCTGTGAGCTCTTCACTGCTGAAAACCTGCCAGTGCCATTCCTTGTTTTTGACCCACAAACAGCCAAAACAACACATCCCCTAATTTTATTCAAATTCTGTAATTATTCCCACTTAAACTTTTGTGATGACTTCTTCTTTTGGAGGCTTTCATGTACCCATTAGCAAGAGTACAGTTTAATTGCCTGGCTGAAATATCTGATTGTTTTGATTTAGAGGATTATTTTATGTGAAAGAAATTGACTTCTAATTGATATTTCTAAAAAAGTGGAGCAACTGTCTCTTTAAGCTTCTTATGAGACACAGCAGATTGCTAATGTTGCTAAGTAAATATGAATATAATCACAAGACAGCACCCCAAATGCATACTCATTTCCTTGAACGTTCTCAGTGCTTGAATGTTTGCCGGAGCACCTGTGAAATAACAGCTTTCCTTACTGAAAACAATGTAGAAATGTCTTAACCGAAATCCCCAAAGAACAAAGTCAGCCTCATGAATATGGAGCACATTCGGAGAGCATCGTCTCACCTTTGCCCTGACTTTTGGCCTCGTCCAGCAGAGGTAGCATGATGGCGTTGTTGAGGCTGGAGGGTGATCGAACGGCAGTGGTGTACATGAGGGGCAGTGACTGTACCACAACTGGGATTCGGTGAACATGGCTGGCCAGCTTCCCTGCTCCCTGCAGGCTCAGAGGGCTGGATGGAGGCGGCGGCACAGAGTGCAGAATGTGCAAATACGGCTGACCTCTCACCCCGGTTCCAGGGGCGACCAGAGGGCCTGGCGTGAGCACCGATGAGGCTGAGGTGATAACTGACGGAGAGGAGGAGGAGGAGGATGACGACGATAACGAAGACGGGGAGAAGGCGGATCTGAGGGGGGATGATGATGAGGTTGTGGTAGTGGCGGTGGATGAGGAGGAGGGGCGGGGTTTGTTGATTGACAGGTCGACCGGCTCGGTCTGTGTGTGGAAGTGCAGGTCGTGGGCGAGCAGGTCTTCGGGGGGTTCGGGTTTAACTCTGCTGAGGAAGAAAGGGACGCCGTCCATCGCAGAATAAGGGCGCACTTTGGGTGACTGTGGGAGCAGATAAACAAATTCACGTTAGATTTTTCTCACTTTAACACACACAAATGCATTAACCAGCAGGAAAAAGCAAAAAACAACAAAAAAAAAGTGAAGCCATGTGCCTGAACTGAACATACTTATGTCATTTTTATGCAAATTCTCACAAACCACTCAGGCCACAAGGTGATATATTGAGGAATTGAATCTAGAAATATTCAGCTTCGGAGACTATAATGCTGCATGATAGAGCTATGTCATAGAGGTATACACCACGTTCCAAATTATTATGCAAGTTTTAAGTGTCATAAAGATTACGTTCTTTGTTTATCAATTAAACTCATGGATGGTATTGTGTCTCAGGGCTCTTTGGATCACTAAAATCAATCTCAGACACCAGTGATAATTAGTTTGCTGGGTAAGCTCAATTAAAGGAAAAACTACTAAAGAAGGACGTTCCACATTATCAAGCAGACCACCATCTTCAAGCAATATGGGAAAGAAAAAGGACCTCTCTGCTGCCGAAAAGTGTGAAACAGTTGAATGCCTTGGACAAGGTATGAAAACCTTGGATATTTCACAAAAACTTAAGCATGATCATCGTACTATTAAGAGATTTGTGGCTGATTCAGAGCGCACACGGGTTCGTGCAGATAAAGGTACAACGAGGAAGGTTTCTACCAGACAAATACATCGGATTAAGAGAGCAGCTGCTAAAATGCCATTACAAAGCAGCAAACAGATATTTGAAGCTGCTGGTGCCTCTGGAGTCCCACGAACATCAAGGTGTAGGATCCTCCAGAGGCTTGCAGTGATGGTTAAACCTTCTATTGGGCCACCTCTAACCAATGCTTGCAAGCAGAAACAGCTGCAGTGGGCCCAGAAGTACATGAAGACTAATTTTCAAACAGCTTTGTTCACTGATGAGTGCCGTTCAACCCTGGATGGTCCAGATGGATGGAGCAGTGGTGGTTTTCATTCCAAAATCATCTTCATGCATGACAATGCACCATCTCATGCTGCAAGGCATACCTCTGCATCATTGGCTGCTGTGGGCATAAAAGGAGAGAAACTCATGGTGTGGCCCCCATCCTCCCCTGACTTCAACCCTATTTAGAACCTTTGGAGCATCCTCAAGAAAAAGATCTATGAGGGTGGGAGGCTGTGTACAGCCAAACAGCAGCTCTGGGAGGCTATTCTGACATCCTGCAAAGAAACTCAAGCAGAAACTCTCCAAAAACTCACCAGTTCAATGGATGCAAGAACTGTGAAGCTGCTATCAAATACAGGGTTCTATGGTAAAATGCAACTTGACCTGTTCAGAAGTTTTTGACTGAAATAGATTTTGATTTCAGTAAATATGACCTCCTAATGCTGCAAATTCAACAAATGACTATTTTCAGTTCTTTACAACCTATAAAATGTTTTGGAACTCTGTTGTGCATCATAACATCAAACAGTGCATTTTGAGGTTTTTATTTTGGAAAAAAACACCATCATTGGGAGGCTTGTTCAATAACATTCCAATTATACTCTAATGGTTGATGACTTGAAAATTATGCTGACTGTCATTAGCACCGACTATTTAGGAAAATCAGAGAAAAATATAATTTGCGTAATAATTTGGAACGGGCTGTACGCAGTGACTTCTATATAGGAAGAAGCAGCTAATATCGACATGTTCATTCAAGCATTCAGCTCTACCTATGAAGTTTTCTCAGTTAGCATGATGTCATCTGCAGATGAAACACAGGAGTAAAGATAGTGTCTCACACACTCGCCTCCTTTCACTCTTTCTTTCTTTTTCTCTTAGCGTGGGTTGCACACTCTCTCTCTCTCGCTTTCTTTTCCTGCTGTTTTCCATGACTCCCACACGAACGCAGCTCTCTTGGCTCCCCTCGTATCTCTCCTAAATCTCCTTTGTGACGGTGGAAAAACATCATATGGGCTCAATTTCCTGACCGTCTCTCTCTGTCTCTCAGCGACTGGGCCTCCTAAGGCCAACGCTGGTGGCTCGGTGTATCCCTCAACACATCTTTCACTTAACACCAAGCAGACTGTAACACAACCGCTCCATCTGTCTGCACAAGTTTCAGGAACCTGTTTACTCGGAAAAGATAATAGAGGACACACACAGTGGAGAAAAGGACGCTGCTACTATTTGTTTCTCACCAAACTTTGGCCCATCTTTGATATCGCTGTTCTAACGTCAAATTAACCGGCTTACGTGCGAAGTAGCTGATCTGGACTTACTGTGTTTCACTGTGGGAGGGGTGCTACAGTGTGTGTTGAGTGGTGCAGATCCTCACCGTGGAGTTTTGTTTTTTTGTTTTTTCAGAGGCTGAGTCACTGTTAGGGGCCATCGAGGAGTAAGTACATCCAGGAGTTTTACTTATCAAAGAGGGAAGGCTCATTAAAGCTAAACGAAAAACTTTAACTCCAACAGCAGCTGCGGCAGAAACGGAAAAAAAATGTTCAGTGCTGTGGATTTTGGTCCTCACTTTTTGTTTTTTAGACTCACATTTCTTTCCCCTTATGTAATGCTGACTGAGACTCGATCTGTGGTGAATTAAGAATTTTTCTGACTCGTGTGTTTGTGTTCTTTCATGTAGTAGCCTACTATTTTTACTCCAGACTTGTACGCTCGTTTTCAGCCTACAGGAAATGTTACGACCCCATGAATTACAAAAAAAAAAAAAAAAAAAAAAGGCCTCTCCCTGTGTAACTCCTCCTCAGTTGGAAAACAAACCAAGGCCAATGAAATATGCCCTCTGATGACCCCTCGTACTTGGTGGGGTTCAGGTCAGGGTCGCTGGTGTCATGTCAAGATTCACAGAACATCACGGTCTGGTTCGTATATACCACCCACCATGCGTCTTCAGTACAGATCTTTACAGCTCTTAATGTCACTATTCCTAATTCTAAGTGGTTTGATTACTGCTTTTTTACGCAACTTTAAAAAGCTCAAACCAAGTCATTGTGAAGAAAATTAATGACACGAGTTGGTTTCTCTTGTCCTGTTATAGATAGCATCACATCTTTTTCATGAAAACTCGTATTTTATGTTTTTTTCTCGCAGCACTGACCATTTAAAAGCAAATATTATCGTCATATTGGCCAGAACAGGCCTTTTTCAGGTTGCTCTCAAAGACTCAGAGCAACAATAGGGACTCTGCTGGGAGAACTAATCTCCTTCAATAAAGACATATGTATGCGGTTATTAGATCTAATAAAGTCAATAATAGGACAAGCTTCAATAGGAGGAGCAGGGAGTGCTGGGAATGGAAAACGGCATAAGGGGAGTCAGTAGAGTAATAGCGAGAAGTGTCAGGTTATAAAGGTCGCCTTGTACATCTGTATGATTGGATTTTATTTGTCATTTGGCAGCCAAGGAGCTAATGAATGAGCCACTGATGGCAAAGCATGAATGAAGCAGCTGATGCCAATCAGCTGATGTAAGCTCTACTTTACTGCTCCGCCTGAACAACGCAATCCTCCACTTTTTTTTTTTGGGAGCATATGCCGTTTGGTGTTAGTTATCCGCTCTTACAGTTTACACAGAAGACGTAGCATGAGAAGCAGAGTTTGTGATTCATGTGTGTCTACGCAGGATGTGATCAGGTGTAGGCCACCCGTGTTTTTCTTTATATTAGTTTAAAAACATGCATCAGGTCACATCTATGCACATGCAGAACCTCTGCAGACAACTGGAATGATTAAAAGTAACTCAGATCTCTTCCATCAAACAGGTGAGACCAAAAGAAAAAAAAGTGAATGCAATGTTTCATCAGGCAGCAATGCAGCCTCAGGGTGGCTGTTAAATTATGAGAGGTAGTTCAGGATCATGTGACACTGACGCTTAATTTAATGCAAATTTTTGTGCTCACGAGAATCACACCCTCCGTAATGCATAGCTGTGTATTTTCTTTAAGTTAATCAGAGTCTCTGTTGAATCTCCTTGTTAGCAGAAGCTAGATAATCACCACATCCCTCCTTCAGAGTATCCTCATTTTATTGCGTTTACAGCTGGATGCGTGCTATTTCAAACATTTCAAAAGAAATAACATTGTCAGTATGTATGTTTGTGGTTTTAAACATCCTCTCTACTTCTCTTGCATCAACTCCTGATGTAGCCTTTCCCGACAGAGCCTCGGGCTACCATCCAACTGCTTCTGCACATGATCTCTCTGTGTTTCCATGTTCTGTATAGGAAGCGAGTGTCACAGTCTGCCTGGAGCTATACTGCCTGAAGGCTTTGAAGCCATTAGATCCACTGAGGCTAATCTCACTACTTTGGAAATATTGTCTTTCTCAGTAAGTGTGTATGCAGCATTAACAGTTCTCCCTGCCGGTCAAAGACGTGAAAAATACATCACACGCCAACCGCAAATGTAGTTGAAGTACCATAATATTCTCTGATTAACTAAACAGATGTGTTGCCCCAGTCCTGAACTCTGATTGGCCGTATCAAATAACAGGACTGCTATAAAATAGAGCTCTGAGTTGGAATTTAAGTGCGTGTTATTATTATTCTTTGCAGACATATAGTTTTGGCATTAAATAGCAAACTAGAAATACTATTGATGTACAAGACATTTTACATTTACATAGCTTGTTCACTAACAATGATAAGTTCAGTTTTGAAACTTTTTTTTTAGCTTATTTTATGTATTTATCTTTAAAAATAGTACATTGTAGAAGTAACTTCTGTAACTAAGAAGGAACTTCTGTAGAGCAGCAGAGGATGTAACAACAACAACTAAGACTGAGAGTACAAATGTGCCCTCCAGTAATATGGTGTTATCCTTGTGACTTAAAAAAAAAAATTCAAATTGATTAAACGAAACAATCAAGTTGTCAGCAAAATAAAGACGAATAGCATTTGACTACTTTGCTCAGTGATTTCATAAACAGAGTGGCACCAAGTTTTTTTATTTGAAATGTTCTCAGAAATTGAGGGAAAAATCAATATTTGACCTGTAACGATCTGTTCAAATTCAAAACATCCTCTTACTGTAGTTCAAGTTTCTCTGACCTCCTGTGCTTCCCGTTACCTTCTCTGTAAACTTGGTTAAGGTTGTTTCACTGACACAAAACAAAGAATCAATCGAGCAGTGCCAGTTAATCGTGAACCAAACGGTCTGAAGTAACGAGAGGTAACTTGTTCTGATTCAACACCAAGAACAGGAGTGAGGATGTTTGTTAAGTTTGTCTGACGTAAGTTCAGTTTGAAGTTACAAGTAAGTTACATGTGAGTTAAAATTAACTTAATTTTATGGAAAAGTGACACCTGACTCTTGCAGCAAAGCTCCTCGGTAAATAGATTTGAAGATGACTCACTGTTACACTTATTTCAGAAGAAAAACAATCTGCTATCTCTTTATTTCAGAGGAGTGTGAGTCAATTTTTATAGTTGCACCATGACCATCAAAGTTAGGAATATAGTCAGTTACAGTCCTCTATGGCTTCTGTGTAGAAAAACAACAACAACAAAAAAAGGGGAGGACCACTTGTGTGGAAAGGCCAAATCTGCAGATATACATACTGTGACAAAACAATGCAAAACAGAAACCTAGTGGCATTTTGGGGTCAGGTTTTCAAACACTTCTCAACCAGCAGAAATGGAAAACTTAAGCCACCCCCACTCTCATTTTGACAGATACAAACACACAGATATGCGCTTAAACCTACACACACTGACACACATATAAAAGGTCTGCCTGCCTGCCTCTGTCCTCGTGCCATTGTCTTTATTAGGGGATACTGGTTAGCGGGGCAGATTTTCCAACCCCTTGCAGGCGAATTGTCTAACGAGGCAGACCATTTCCAGCAAGCCCTTGGCCCCACGCCACCCAAAATGAAGACCACATTTCTGCAGCAGCCTAAACTGTCTGTCTGTCTGCCGTCTAAAAGGGAAGCTCGGTCTGTTAGGGCGAGATTGGATCTCAGTGCACTTCAAAGCTGTGTGGGCTGCAGCGCTCACATCCTGTCTGTGACTGACATCACTACGCCGAGAATGATTTCAAACCCCAGGTATTAGGCAGCGGTGCGGGATCACAGCTCCCGAACCCTCGAGCCACAGCTGAGAGCAGGACACCCAGACAGCAACCACCTGCCGCCTTACTCCGTCAAGGCCCCTCAGACGCGGAGAGACAGATTCGATTCTTATCAACACAGAGCACCTCCACGGCCAAACAATTCTCTACAAGACTCGAGATAACCCGATAGGTTATCAGCGGCTGGTATTTCTCTCATCCATCACCGGTTAATGCTCTCAGGGTTCATCTCGACAAAAAAAGTGCTCCTGGTGATATATTAGGGGGTAAAGATATTATCGATACGTTATGAATGGAAATCGATAATAGCTGAACGCTAATTCATCATGATTACAAATATTAAGTGGCCTGCACCCACTGCACACACAGCTGTGGCAGGAACACAGAGCCCTTGTAACCTAGCAACAGCTTCACCATAACAAGACCACTTTATTTCTAGGTACGTCAGACCAGAGAGCACTGATACTGTATGTGGGCCATGAAAAGCTTGCATGAGGTAGCTCTATTATACCTAACATGGTCAGTGCACGCAGATTAATTGAACATCTGACTAAAAGAAAAACCATGAAAATTTTAATTGCACAACATGGCCTTTTGGGTGAAACAAACTCATCTAAGACCGAATATCGCTGGTGGATATTTAACAGCGCCTGCTATACGGTGACGAGCTCCTCTGTGTGACAAATTCATATAGAGTGATAGAAGCAACACAGAGGTGACACGGAGATCCGCGAGAGAGCAGGGGCATGCATGAGATTACAGCAGAGGAAGAGGAGAAGCTGTGATAGCAGAGGAAGAGCATGTTGTGTGTTTGTGCGCAACGGGGAGATTACTCGTGTGTGTTTGTGCATGAGAGCCCAGAGAAGGGAGGATGAAGGGAAATGGAGGGGACGTAACGAAGCAGGAACAGACAGAGATAGATAAGATTTAGAGTTTCCCATGCAACCCTCCTTCCCCCAGAGCAGCGACTGCATCTGCGTAATCACCCCCAGCCAGCGCTGGACTCCGCTGGCCCCAGTCACCTCCCCAAAAGACCCCAGTGCATTCCTGCTCCAGCTGTGGCTCTCCTCCTCCTCCTCCTCTTCTTCTTGGTTCTTCTCTTCTTACTACCATGCTCTCCGACCACTCCTCTTAGCCCCCAACACTCACTCTCTCAGTCACTCACTTGCTCGGGCCTGGGAGTGATTATCAGCCCATTGCCGGGAGGAGGAAAGAAGGAAAGGAAAGGAAAGGAAGAAAAAAAAAAAGAAGAAAAAAAAAAAAAGAGAAGGGAATTGTCTGGAAAACAACTGCTCTCTTACCCCTTGTTCCGATTCCAGGGGCTCAGCTTTGACTCGGACTGCAGGCATTCCGTCAAGCATTAACATCCTGTTTCTTAGGCTGCCTGTAAAGGAACACAGAGGAGGTGTAAGACGGGTGTTTTAGCATGACTAAGCAGGTCCCACACTCAGTTATTCACACACGGACATCTACAATGTTGTGCTTGCACCCACTGAGAAATAAACACGTTGGAAATAGACAGGAATTCATGTTTGAGAATCATCAGAAGCTGACAGACAAAAGATGCGCATAAACTGTGTAAACTCAGCGAGCGCACAGCATGACTCCCCTCCTCTCCATAATAAAGATTTTCAATTGCCTGGTGGGCTGCTGCGGGGCTAATAACACTTCATAACGCTGAATAAAATCCTCTTAAGACTTCAATGGAATACAAACACACGCTTTGATACAGTTACTCAACAGCAACGGCTTCAAAACGGCCAGAGTTTCCACCATGACCACTAATGTAAGAGGGAAAAAAAAAGACATGTCACTTGGAAGATAGAAATAATATTTTACTCTTGTGATAACCACACTTTTAGTACTTCTTAATATTCATCCCTCCCTCCCTCCCCTCTGCATTTGAACACAGTGCGTCTGTGAAGTGGGCAGCAGTGCCCGTCTCCTCAGCTCCGTGCTGTGGCTTTAAGAGGGATAGTCAGATGGAGCCAATGACAACAATGCATGTTCCGTATCCCTCAGCTGGGGCCGACCTGAGGTAACCCTCCCCTCTTATTATTTTAGCAGCAGTACATGGAGGAATGCAAGCAAGGCAAATAGATTCTAAACATCTCTATTACTCTCCGCTGTTGGCACCAGAGGCAGGGTTTGTGGCCCAATCGTTGCTGTCAGCAGCACCGGGACCATCGTGACCATTATTATTCTGAGGGAAGGAAAAAAAAAAAAAAGCTGAGCCAGTGATGAATGACATATATTATCTCTATGTAGCTGGATGCCTGACTATCTAATTATCATAAGACAAGCATCTACTGTATGCGGCCTGTCCAGTTATTAAGACTATTCCTCTTTTTTTTTTTTACTCGGCAAGAAAAAGAACATTTCTTTAAAAATGGTTACAGCAAAAATTAATTTAATGCCACATTATTGTTCCTGTACCTCTCAGATTCTCAAGCAAAAAAAAAAAAAAGGCTAATCCTGACTGTGTGTGTGAGGGAGGCAGAGAAAGAGGGAGGATTTACTCCCTCAATCTGCAACCCCCCAGATCTCGCCTCTCAGGTCTAAGTCCCTCAGGTACCCTGGCTGTGCTGCTATTGTATTGTTGTCCAGGATGTCCTTCGGCTTCAGGTCTTGGTAGGCCCAGATAGCGTTGCCATAGTAACGGCTGGGCGGGTGGAGTTGCAGCCTCAGTCCAGCCTCGAGCCATGTGTTGAGGAGTAGAAGAGAGAGGAGTGCACCGAGAGAGGCACAAAGTGAGGTTTGTTTTTCTTCAGGATGACCATCATTCTGGCAAATGCGGATTTTTCAAGATCGAGTCTGAAATTGTCAAAACGTTCGGGGGGGTTTTTGGAGCCTCGAAAAGTTTACCCTCTCCAAACTTATTTCTTCTCTATCTTAAATGAGCACCCTAACAACACATTGCAATTCTGTCAGAGCTGAACATTTCTTGAGAGCGACACAATTTCTCTGTGTGCCCGAAGTCCGGTTAGTCCAGCAGGTTTGCGATCACCTTCCTAATGAACTGGCCTGCAGGAGGCTATTCAAAGGAAATCAATGGCCAGTGCATACCTCTGCTTGTGACTGTAATGACCAAAGGGCTACCAGCAGTGAGAGGCCTAACACTGAGTAATGAGCCAACAGAGGAGTGCTGTGTGCATCGAGGAGTTTGTATCGAAAATACTTTGACCGGGGTCAACTGTCAAACACATTTGCTCCCAGGAGAGGATCACCTCCACCAGTTAGTACATCAAGATGACAAATCAAGATGATTAAAAATAAGAACAAACACTGAGCCTGAAATGACGGGAATTTGCTCTGGATGATGAACCACTGCGTATCCAGTATTCTCTATCACTAAATTTGGTCTGCTGGCGGCAGGCAACCAGCAGTGTGCTGTCCATCAGCAGTATGAGGCACTGTGTGTGGGAGATGGAGAGAGAGGGAGGGGGGTTAGAAGGAAACAGGGTAGATTAAGATCACCTTTCCATTTGCTGCACTCTGAAATGAAATGGCCATCCCAGGTGTGTGGGGGAGTGAGATGGAGAGAGGAGGGCAGTGGAGTGTTGAGGCATCTCATTTCTCCCTCCCACAGACCCTCCCGTCCCCACCAAAATCCCTCAGAAAGAAAAAAAAAAGACAGTAAAGGGAGCAGGTGAGGACTGAGGCCAGCTCTAACGGTGAAAAAAAAAAAAGCTCTAAATGTGCATATTTCACTGTTTTCTGCTCTCTTTGTTTTCCTGTTTGTGTGTCTGTTAATGCATTTCAAAGTATGAACTCAAACTCCCACCACATATCCACATCCATGACCTNTGTTTTCTGCTCTCTTTGTTTTCCTGTTTGTGTGTCTGTTAATGCATTTCAAAGTATGAACTCAAACTCCCACCACATATCCACATCCATGACCTCAAGTCCAGCGTCTCCCAGCAAGCTGATAGCCATCGATGGCTGATGGCTGACTGAGGCAACAGCAGTGAGCTGGAGAGGAGGGATAAAGGCTGAACGGACTGAAGCTGGATCAAACAGGGGTGAGAAACCTCTCTAGAAAATCTCTGACCTTCTGAGACCAAATGTTGACCGGTGGCATCATCCAATATACTTGCAAATGTCAAAAACAACCCAAAAATCCCCCCCAAACAAACAAAAGCTTGTAGAAATTCAAACAAGCCTACAAAACCGCTGTGCCATGACATGACTTTTGAGCTCCCAGTATGCTGTCAGGATTATGAATTGAATGTAAAATGGATTGTATTTAAGTTCATTGTCAAGTACTGATATCTATCAAGGATTTATTCTGATTGGCAAAAAAAATAAATAAAAAGCACTAAGGTGTGAGTTGGTGTAGTGGGTGGTGAACATCACTGCGAGTTCATGTTCTCTCAGCACATGCGAGTGTGAAAACAGATCCCGTTTAATACTGTCTCTAGGTGTTTGCTCACACAGCAACGGAGCGCACTTTGTGTCCAAACGAAGTTAGACTTAAACAACCTCATGAATCCAGATTTAGTAGCTGCCTCCGAGTGTGTGTAGTATCTCCGTTTTCTTTCTCTCTCTCTCTCTCTCTTATGTGGACATACTCGCACACATATAGACACGGAAACGCTGCACACCCTGAAACACAAAGCAACAGACGGGCCCCGCCAGTGCTTTGTTCCCATGTCGAGCGCCCAGAGCAACTGGGTGCATCTGTGTCACAGAGGCTGGACCTGCTGCCACGGGCTGCGGACGGAAGAGCCGTGGAAAAAGGGGTAAGGGGAGAGGAAGGGAGAAGGCGCAATGCATTGTGGGAGATACGCGAGAAAGGATTAAGGAAGGTGATAGCGAAAGGAGTTGGAGGGGGGGGCGGGGGGAGTGCTTGTTGAAGAGTTGCTGGCAAGAGCAGTGGTTAGGGAAGCAATCAAGGGGAGTTGAAGGGGTTGGGGGGGAGGTGGTGTTTAGAGGGGGAGGAGGAGGGGCGGGAGTTAAAGAAGCGAGAGAGGGTAGAGAGGGGATATGGACCTGAGCCAAGGCCCGGTCGAGCGCAAAGCACACGGTGCAAGAATGCCAACAGACCCCCTCCCACCCGGTCCTCTAACCAAAGAGAGCGGAGAAAGAAAAAAAAAAAAAAAAGAAGCAAGAGAGGAAAGCAGCAAGGAAAACATTTAAAAATGTTGCAAATCAGAAACAAATGGTGCCACAAGTGCAAAATGCATAAAAATTTTTTTAAAAAGGACAGAGCTGGAGGTGATGTGAGATGAGCATTTCCTGTGTTTTGTCTGTCGCTGGCCTCTCTGCTGCAGCTCACTTCCCTCTTTGGTGCCCCTGGACACCCCAATGTGACACATTGGCCCGATAACCAGCCTGCGACTGCTCGCTCACCAGCACACTACTCCACTTCCTCTGTTTTCGACTTGCTCAGGAACTTCTTAAAAGAAGCAGCGAAAGCTTGAGTACATTTATGACACTCTCATTCGAAAGGTAACGAAGACAACTGGCCAAGTGACACTTTTGCATGTCCTTGGAAAGTAAAGCTTTCCTATATATTTATTAAAAACCATGTTGGTCTGGTTTGCTCGCAGTGTAGACACAATAGAACTCCAGCTGGATCACAGCTGATTTTTCAATCTAAACCTCATGTTAAAGCTGTGTCTGCTCATGACCTCATCTTGTTGGCCTAATTCTGGTCTTGAGAGCAGAGTAACAGCACCCAGACAAATAATGGTGCTTGGTTCGGTTAAAGGTTTTAAAGACTTGAATCTTGAACTCACTCAGTGCTCCCTTACAAAGCCAAAGTTTATCATATAAATAATAAACTAGCCCTGCTGAAAACATACATTGTCCAAGCATGAGAGCATGAGAATTACCGTCCACTGACAAAAAGTTTTTTAGTTTCAGAGCTTATATGCAAGTTTTCAGTTGGTGCTGCAACATTCTTTCTCCATCCACGATTTAATGAGGAGGTGCTCTATAAGAGGAGCAAATGGAAACTCCAAATATGGCTGACCTGAGCTCACACAGTGTGTTTTTACTTCCTCTGTTAACACAAAACCTAAGGTGAACTTGAGGTGAAGGGAACGCTCAAAATCAAAGCCCCAAAGTCAGAGATGTCCTCACTTTACAGTTCCCATAATGCAATCAATGCATTTTTTGTTATATCCTACCTGCCTGCTCAATGTTTACAACTTTTAAATCAACATCCCAAACTTAAAACATGGGACTTTTGGTCACAAATTTGTATAACACACCTAAAAACATCATCAGGGCAAATGCTGTCACATGTGACAAAATTCCCTTCAGAGCCACAGAGGGCACACAACAATTGCTTTCACAGGGTGAGTTCTCATGATGAGTTCACTGACATTTAAGAGTAAAACTAGCGGAGTTCCCCTTTAATCAGTTTATCAGGTACAC